GGAAACACTGAGGGAACTGGGTCTTTTCAGCCTGGAGGAGACTCAGAGTGGATCTGTTGGCAACATACAGGTATGTGAACAGGTGTCACATGGAGGTGGGTAGAGACCTGTTCTCCCCAGCAGAGGAGGGCAGGATGTGCTCCAGTGGAGTGAAGCTCAGGGAACCAAGTTTCAATTTGGATGCCAGGAAGTACTTCCTGACAGTTAGGGCCCTGAGGGTATGGAATGGGCTTCCACGGGAGGTGGTTGAGGCCCCACCGGTGAGGGTGTTCATGGACAGGCTAGACATGCACATGGTGGGCATGTTGTGAGTGGAGCCAGCTGGAGCCAGAGGTCAGACTAGATGGCCTGGGAGACCCCTTCCGACTCGCGCTGTTTCTACGTTTCTGTGTGCTCTCAGCAACTCAACAGCCTTAGTGTGTGCCTTACTGTTGGTGCTTCTCCCAACAGCCCAGCCCTCAAGGGCAATGCCAGGATGCCTAAGCAGCAGTGAGGACACAGAACCAAGAGGACAGAAACCCATCCTATAGCCATCTCTCCATAGGTGCCTTTACAAGTGGCCAACGTCTCCTTTATGGGCAAGGAGCTCGAACAGGTGGTCACAGGACAACTCCAGGTACTCTGGGAGGAAACTGACCATCTAGGCCCATTTCAATCCAGTTTCAGGCCGCATTTCAGCACAGAAACTGCTTTGGTCACCGTGTGGGATGCCCACGCACCCCTGCCCATTCTACTGGATGTCTCAGGGGCTTTTGATACCAGCAATCATGATATCCATCTGCTGTTGTTTTTGCTCACATTTTAATGTTATTTTAATAGCTGTATGATTTGAGGAAAGAAAAAAGAAAGAAAAAAAAGACACAAAAGTTACAAAAAAACACAGTATTTCTTGAACAAATATTAGAAAGAATATCAAATATTTAAGGAAAATCGCTGTAAGTCAACAAGTACTATCCTTTCCACAGTCACATATATTTGCACTTATTACATTTCATTATAAGTCTTCTAATCTCATGCGATTATCTCTGATCCTTTTTATTTTTCTGTTATTATCCCCAGTAAAGAAGGTTGTATACAATTTCCACTTATCGTTTTCTTTGGCTGGTTGTCTCACTAGAGTTTCCAGAAGGTGGTATTGGGGGCATATGGCTCTGTGTCATGGCCTTTACACCATGGGGGACAGAAGGGTTCCATACTTTCACCCATGCCTTTCAACATATACATAAAACTGCTGGGTGAAATCATCCAGAGGTTGGGGGTGAACTGTCATTAGTATGCTGATGACACTTAGCTCTATGTCTCGCTGTCACTTAAATCAGGTGAGGCAGTGACAGATCTGGCCCAGTGCCTGGATGGTGTGATGGTCTGAAGGCCAATAAATTGAAACTAAATTCAAACAAGATGGAACTACACCTGGTTGGTGGGCCCTCAATCCAGAGGGAGGATATTTGCCCTGTCCTTGATGGAGTTGTACTCCCCCTGAAGGACAGGGTATGGAGTTGAGGGATGCTCCTGGACCTGAGCTGTCCCTGGAGCATCCAGTGAGCTTCAAATCCAGGAGTGTCTTTACCAGCACTGTTCAATCCATCAAATGCATTCTCTGTGGATAGACAGGAGCTAGCGACAGTAGCTCATGCGCTGGTAATCTCTTGCTTAGACTATTGTAATGTGCTGTACATGAGGCTGCCCTTGAAAATGGACTGGAAGCTTCAGTTGGTCCAGAATGGAGCTGCCAACCTGTTGACAGCAGTTTCTAGGTGACAACACAGAACACCATTTCTTCACCAGCTCTACTGGCTTCCTATTGAGGTCTGGGCCTGTTTTAAGTTGCTTAATTTGGTATATTAAGCCCTAAAGAGATTAGGGCCTGGTTATCTTAAGGAATGCCTCCATCCATATGTGCCTGCCCAGCCCTTAAAGTCAACTATAGAGGTCCTCCTCCAGAATTAGGAGGGCAACTACGGGCAGGGAAGGAGGTCAACTACGGCTTTTCTGCTGTTGCACCAAGACTCTGGAATCAGCTTCCCAGAGAAGTCCACGTGGTGCCAACATTGCATACTTTTTGGTGTCAGGCCAAGACCTTTCCCCCACCCATATTCTAACTGTTGATCGTTTATCATTGATTATAAAAAAATTATGACCCTGTAGAGCAATCTATTATGGTTACAGTTATGCTTATGGTGAAGATTGTTGCTTTGTTTCTATGAGCATATGAACAGCTAGATTGTGTCTAGCTGTTATTCATACTATTTTGTCAGGGTTATTATTGTTGTTTACATTTTGATTATTATTATATTTACTTTTATTGAGTTATTATTTTTGTTAACTCCTCATATATATTTAGTCAGAGATGAAGAGGAGATATTGGAAGAGCCCCTGGGCTGATGTTTTCAATTGTATTTTTATTGTTTCATTTTGTGCACCGTTCAGAAAACTCGTGAGCTATGAGCAGCATATAAAACTTGTTAAATAAATAATAATCAGTTTTTCACCCCCACTCTCCCCATGCAGGTAGACATTTTGAACAACTAATCACTTGAACTCCAGTATAGCACATTCTGAACCATAAGAAACCAAGTGTAACGATTAAAGAAAGTTAAAGTACATTTTACTTCAATAGAACTGAGCTGGGTGGTAGTGGGGTATGTTTAGATAGCTCCAAGCCAGAGCATTCTACTGTGTCCTGTACTCTTTCCCAAAACGCTTTCACTTCTCCGAGGCCCAGAGAGAAACAGACTACTAGTAAAAATTATGACCCAGCTTTACTTGTAGTTACACTGACTCAAGCTTCACCAACAGGCAAAGTTCCGCCTCTTCACTTTCATATGTTTTCTTGTCAAAACATGGCATCCGTCAGGTTCAATTTTGTGCATTAAAGCATCCACATTCTTCATCAGATAAGAAAAATGTGATGCACACAGAAAGTAGTTAGGCATGGCCTCTTTGAAGGGGAGATCAAAGCCGAACCACCATCTTTCAAAATAGCTCTGTGCATGGTTCTAAGACCTCAATTGCTTTCTTCAATCTGTTAGAACCATTCCCCCCAGTTTCCTCAGTCAATGCTCTTTCTGTAATAACATATCTAACACAACATGCTTTGACATCCGGAGATAGATCACTTACATATTTCATGACAGAGACTTTGCTCCAACATTTTGATGAATAATTTGTTTCAACTCCTCTAAATAACGTCCTTGCCGGCTTGTTGGTAATGTAATGGTTATTAGGCCACTCTTCCTCAGCCCACTTCATAAAAATGTAATATGGCACATTTTAGCTCCTTGCTAACAGGGATTCTTTGCAAGATTTTATCAGGATGTCTTGTATTGTCTGCTATTATGGCAATACCCCACCTGCTAGCTGCAAAAGGATCATGAAACATCATTTAGCTTTAAATGCTCATAGTTAGTTTTCCCCTTACAGAGAAGGGTGGGGAAATACGGCTCAATCAAGGGAGGTCTGGTTAACAGTGACATGAGATAATGCCTTCTTGGGGGAAGGCCCCCCCCCACCACACCCCCACCCTGGTGGAGCGATGCTCCTGAATGGACTAGTACCTTCTCTGATGAGCTTTGGGCAGGCAGTCAAGACATTATTTCACTAGTACTTTTTCGGGTTTTACCCATTGCTGACAGCTGCTTTTATTTTTAGGTAATGTACTTCTTTTCAATGTATCTGCATTGTTTTATTGTTCCTAACAGGCTCGGGGGTCTTGATGTGGGTTAGGGTGAAAAGGTGCCATGCATTTCTATAAAAACAAACACCTACCCTAAAATGTATATTTTTTAAGTCTAAAAGTTTACTCATCCTTAATGCACACCAGCAGATGCATCGGTATTATAAATACAATTTGGGTATCAAAGAACTCCAAGGAATATCATCTTACAGAAATGTTAGTCACAAGATCCCTAGCCCCTCTCATTCAACTATAGTTTGTAAAGATCACTAGAGCCTGACCTTTTTTATTCTTTTCAAAGTATGAGCGAGTTTAAACAAATTATCTGTTCTTGTTGTCATAGTTTCGTTGTCCCTCCCTTTCCACCAAACCTTGACTTTTTATACATAAGCAAGTTCCACCGTCAATGGAGAGAACTTGTCATACAGTTTTGCTGCCCCTCCACTGTAATAGAAAACTTCAAAGATTGTAAAATGAAAGGATAGTTGTTGCTGTGTTTCTACTTCCTAGCAAATTAAAGAGGCTTCAAAGGTAAAGAATTCTATGCAAAAGGCAAAATTCCTAACTGTGGAAAGTTTAATTAGTGCCAGAAGACCTTTCTAGGTTAGGAATTATTATTTATATATCTCTTTATTTGCTAAAAGAACATCAAGGAATTGTACATTTAGACAATGTTGACGGTCCAAAGAGCCATTGTAACACATTTTCTTCTTTTTAATCAAATGCCTATTTTGCAGGCTTTTGAATTGTATGGTGGTAATTGTATTACCCAATCAACATTGCAGATCCATAGTTATGTGGAGAAAGTATAAGAAAAAAGTGAAACAATGTCGTGACCACTCAAATAAGCCCCATCTCCTCACTAGGAAGGGGAGAAGCCTGGAAACCATCTGGTCTGCTTATTCAACCAATTATGTAATACAGAAAGCAGACAGAGTTTTCTTTCCTCAGGAGCTTGCAGATGCAGGGCACTGAGCACCACCAAAGGGCACTACCAACGATGTCAGAGAATGAGGTGGATAAGCAAGCTGAAGATCTGTATGTATGGAAATGCAGCCTTCAACAGGGGAGCCAAATAAAGGAACACGGTAGAGCAGTATTTAAGACTGAAATCCATCTTTCATCTCAGCTCACATATTAAGTTTTGAGGCTGTGCACAACAACAGCCGAGTCTGTTAACGTGCACAGATGCATTACTGAGCAAAGTGGCTGATAATCACTTTGGCAGTTCGGTTCAATGTCTTCTCATCCAAAAGGTTATCTTATGTTAAGTTGTACCACTTTTTCAGAGAACACTGTATTGTTTTCATAATTACAGACACACTTTATCTTATTACAGGACATCAGTTTATTAAAACTGGCCAAGTATGCAAACAAGGCATTGTTGAACAGTAACTTTGAACAGCCAGCAATGTCATACGATTTGACTCCTGTTTACAGTACAACAGCCTCTTCCCTTAATGTGTGCATGAAACATTTAGAGGCAAGTGTCCAGAAATTTAACCCACAACAACTAAATCTTCCTCAACGAATTCATAGTTTGGAACCTCAAGATTGGCAGGAGCTGGGCCTTTACGGATTCTGCCAGATGCGTCATAATGCGACCCGTGGCATGGGCAGTAATAGCCACCATACTCTCCAGCATTAGCAATAGGTACACAACCAAGATGGGTACACACACCTATCAGTATAAGCCACTCAGGCTTCTTTACCCTGTCTAAATCATGCTGTGGATCTCTCAGCTCCGTCAAAGGCACCTCGGACTCTCGCTCAATCTCTTTTTGGGATCGGTGACGCACAAAGATGGGCTTCCCTCGCCACTTGAACACCATATTCTTGCCTTCTGGAATATTGTCCAGCTTGATCTCAACCTTTGAGATGGCCAACACATCAGCAGAAGCACTCATGCTGGCGACAAACTTATGTACAGCATTCTTGGCAAAATATGCCACAGCCACACCACTTGCTGCTGTAATGAAGTAGGAGAAAGCTTTTCTGTTTTCACTGAACTCTTGAGAGGACTTTGTGCTGTCCAATACACCAGGGTGACGATATTCAGAAAAGTCTGGGACAGTGGCATCATTGTGGACATAACGAATGCTAGCAGGAGCTGTAATGGAAAGGAGAAGCACAGTTATGGATTTTTACTAATTTGGTTTATTATGTTTACCTTCTCTGGCAGACCCAGTCATCTTATTTTTCTTGGTATATAAGTTGTTTGGAGTCTGATTTAGTATGACTGACGTATTTGGTAAACAAAACTTTAAAAATGCATTACGTTAACTCTGGGTACTTTATGTAAAGCTGAAGTTCATAAATAGCCAAAAGTCGCTGAAGTAAAATATTTGAAAAGCTCTTAACTATTGCTCTTTGCATCCCAAATCACAAGCTGGAACCAGACTTCCAACAGTGCTGGCATTTCAAACCTGATTCTCTGTTGTTTCCATAAATGGAAGCCCAATGCCCCTTAAAAATACAATTGCAAAGGATGTTGAGGTTTAATCAATCAATCAAATTAATACAGTCAAGGACCACCATAATCAAAAGAATATCAAAATTCCAGTTGCTATACATTACTAAAAGTTGGAATTAAGATCTAAATCCAAAATCTGAAATGATACACATCAAGAAAGGACAGGACAGGACAGGCCAGGCATGTGTTAAAATTTATACTCATTACAAACAACAATACCCTGTTGGGTTTTACAAGTGCCTGCCAAAAACTCACTCTCTGGGCTGTGAACTGCGGGTTAGTTCCCATAAGGATAATCCTGGCCACCACTGTGTCCAAGTGGCCAGTACAGTTTCTGATCAGGAAAAGGAAAAACTTTCCACATGCTTCTTGGTAAAGGAAGCAGTAAAACAAAACATGCTCTATTGTGTCCACTTCTCCCAAACCACAGGGGCAAACTCTTTCAAACATATGTATCCTTCTATAGCGGCCTCTGAGGTTCAAAATTTGTACGCAGTCAATTTCCTTCCAATCATCAAGCCCCTCCCCACAAAACAAAAAGAATGAAAGGCAAAAACTCCAACCAAACCTGTATTTGTAAAAAAAAAAAAAAAAAGGTGGGGGGCTGGAGCATGAAAGACATCACCACTGCCAGATTTCAAGTAAAAATGGTAGCTTGCATAGTAGTCAAGGCAGATTCTTCACCTCAAAATGTGAACAGCTTCGAGTCAGAGGTCATTCCCAACCCATCTAATGCTCCTTTACAGTGCAATCTTGTGCATGTTTAGTCAGAGTTCAACTGAATTTTCTCTCAAGTATACGTGCATTTACCTGCATATTTAGGGGATTTTTGTCCCCAACTGCCAATTCCTTCTAGGAATTGAAGGACAGAACCATCTAAGTTTTCAAGAAATAAGGTAATTTAGGATCTCCTGGGAGAAGAGATTTACACAGATGATTACAATAAAGTGTCTGCATCAAATTAGAACTAATGAAGGAATAAATAGCATCTCTTTACAATTAGTTTATTTTTGTTTTTGAAGATTATTTCCTAAGAAATTAAATAAAGTTTGGTGTTAAAGATATTTAGGACAAACTAATATGCATTTAATTCCAAGGTCTAAAGTTAAACAGTAGACTATTTGCATCCAATGAAGAATTAATGAAGCAACACTATTTTTACGAAGTTTACCATTTCTGTAATCTCCCCTATTAGCACAGTATCCTACCCTGTTAAGTATACATTAAGACAATTGGCAGCACTATACAAAGCATATCCACATTTTAACCTTGCTCCAAGTAACCCAAGCTATGAAAATAAGTAATTCCATATTCACAAATGCAGTATGACTGTCAAGCAGTCTTACACCTTAGTATCTTTTCTTCTCTAGAATGGGAACTATCACCTATGCTTGCATGACCTTATTCCATTCCTTGTCTCTGCACTAAAAATAAGCAACAGGAGAGAAGGTCTATCAACAGTAGTTAGCCATAATAGCTAAACAGAACATTCAAAAAAAGCTGTCTACTTCTGAAAACAGACTGAAAGGAACACACAGGGACCCTAAAGGCAACTTTTGTCTGATACAGCAACATTGTTCTTCTATACCAAAAAGCAAGTTTGCTTTCAGTATCTTTCCCACTCAAGCCTGACCAAGACCCAGGACTGGGCTGTGTAGGCAGAAGCAGTGTTGATCTTCAATTGGGGCAGGACGAGAAACGGAACACCTCAAGTCTTTTATTTAGCAGAATTTCTGAATGTAACAGCTTACTTCTTCTAATGTAAGTGTAAAGCTACCTACCACTTACGGATTCTACAGCAAAACTAAACGCTTCCACTCTCTGAACTTGGGTCACATGGGCAAACATCAGAGCTACACAGAAGATGTGCCAAAACCTCCATCAAGTCCTAATACTATACAAGGCTGAGTCCTTCCACAACATTCACACTCAGTGAATGGGCCTAATTGTTACTGAAATGGTATACATGACCCTGGACTGTATCATTTGAGGCTATACATGACAAAGAAATGTGATGTATTTCTTTTCATGGAAAACTAAAATGACACATACTAAAATTCTTCTCACTACTGCATACACTTTGGTGAAACTACTCTTTAGAAGCCGTTTCAGCCCTAAGAACCCCATTTTCAGGCTCAAGTGACACAAACCAGAAACAATATCTATCCATATGTGTGGACTTTTTAGGTGTGGGGACTTCTTGTTTTGTATAGAAAAACTGTCAAGCACACAAATTCTCAGCTCCAACCTGTGCTAGATAAAAGATTTTTCATACAGAAACTTCCCTCTCTCCTCACAATAAACCTCCAAAAGAGAAGAGGCTGAGAGATCGGCATAGGCCACTCTTTACAGACAGGACACATGCTTTGCTTACAAAAGATCACAGGTCTGAATAATGACATCTCCAAGTAGGGATGTCAGTGAGTTGACTGAATCAACAGCCTGACTCAACTATAATTTTACCTATGTTCCTACAATGCCCAAGGACACTCATTGTACTTCATGACTAGATAGGAACTTGAACCTTGTCCTGTCCACTCCTAATCAGAGGATGATAGGTGATGTTCCAGTCCAACCCGGAGGGTACCAAATCCAGGAAGCCTACCAGGGCCATCAAAGGAAAAGCTAAACCAAGTCCTTCCCATACAGTTTGGGGGAAACAGGAACTGCCTTGTGAGAGGAAGTCTGCCAGATAAAGGAATGAGGAGCAGGACACAAAGAGAGGCCCTTCCCTGGTCATCCATCCCAAAATCCATTTTTGTGGGGTGAACAGAAAATTGATCTCCCAAAGTTCAGAACTGGAGCCCCCAGAAACACCTGCCAGCAAGGTCAGCAGTCAGGAATGTTGGCAGTTTTAATCCAAAGCATCTGGAGCACTTTTCACCACCCCATTGTTGCACCACACCAGAGGCCTCAAGAAGCAAGCAGGGCAAAATAGAAAAGGAAAAAAGCCAGCGTGGGGTGTTGGCTAGTTTTGGACTAGGACTCAGAAGATCCGGGTTGTGGTCCTCACTCAGTCCTAAGGCTCACTGGGTGACCTCGGGCCAGGCGCTGACTTTCAGCCTAACCTACCTCACAGGTTTGTTGTGAGAATAAAATGAAAACGCGAAGAGTCATGCAAGCCGCCTTGGGTTCCTTGCAGAGAACGGAGTATAAATATAACCATTTCCTGAGAGAGAGAGACGCCCCCACCTCCAACCGAGGGACACCCTCCCACCCCGAGCAAGGCCCGGCCACCCATCACCCCTGCCCGCGGTCCTCCCCGCCCGCACCGTTGAGGCTGGCGGTGGCGACGAGGCCCCCTCGAGCCGCCTGGCCGCGGAGCGACTCATGGCAGAGCAGAGGCCGCTTGCCGTCCACCGGAGGCAGCTTCGCGGCCGCCGGCGCCAACGCCGGCGCCAGAGGTTTCAGCGGACCCGGCACGGCATGCCCGACAGCCGTCAGGTACGGGGCGAACGGCCCGAAGCGGGCAGCCACAGACAACATGGCGGCGGCGACTTCCTTCTCTCCCTCACTCCGGTCACCTTCCCGTGCGACGTAAGGGCAAGGCCCGCCCCGTGACGCGTTCGCGCGCGCCAGCATGCATCTACGCAGGCGCGCAGAAGGCTCCGCCCACCTCCCCGTGCAGCCGGCGCTTGGGGGGGCGTGGCTGAAGGCGTGACGCCAGGCGAGGGGCGTGGCCTCGACGGGGTGAGAGAGCGAGCGTCCTTTTTCTCCTGTTTAACTCCGTCACTGCGGCTTTCGTAGCGAGGGGCAAAGAATCGGAAGCGCGCCTGCGCAGACGGCGCAGACGCGTGCTCCTGGGTGCGCCGGGACCAATCCGGGCGAAGGGATGCGGCGTAGGGCGGGGCTTCGCTTGAAGCGGGGCGCAGCGAGGAGGGTGAAAGTGCTCCTGAGGGTGGGCAGAGTGTGCGTGGCAGCTCAGAGGGGGCACCCTTCGAACTTAGTAGAGCTTGCATCTGAGTTGGCGTGCACAGGTTACCTCCGCCAATATGCCATGCTATTGTTAGGAAAGGAAGGAATTGTTAGCCAGCCTGTAAATATTTCACCCCATAGTCCCAAGTATTTAAATTCAATATTTTATTGCGAAAAGATGACGGGTCAGGAGACACGCACACCAGATATTTTGATTTATCTGTCATTTCTCATGGAGAACCGGGTTTTGTGAAATTAATGCAAAAAGAAGGATGAAGGCAATGTAAAACTCAGATTCTTTACAAGAGGGAAAATGGGTATAAAATTAACAATATAATTTTAGCCTGCCTCCCCCCCCCCTTTTGTATAGGGAATTCAAGGCAGTTTACATAATCCTGCTACTCTCAATCTTATCCCTACAACAACAAGCCTGTGAGGTAGGCTAGATTACAATTCAGAAACTGGCCCAAAACCACTCCATGATCCTCACAGCCGAGTGGGTACTAAAACTCACCTCTACCAAATCCCATTTCATATGGCTCAAAGGATATAATTCAAAACCTTACCTAGACAATATTTTTACTGGAATATGTGCCTATATTTCAAGACATGACATCTCCATGAGATGCATTTCCCTTGCATTGTTCAAGTTTTAAGAAATAAAAGTGCCAAAAACATTTTTAGCATGCTGGAAGATCCATGCTCCAGAATATATGTGCTTCCTGGGAACAGTCAACAGAAAAAAAAGGGTAATTACAACTTTTGATTTGTAGATCTGTTTATTTCAGATTTGCAATTTGACTAGTGTGGCATCTCTTCATTATGCTACCAATTTATTTTATGAAACAACACAATACTTAAAAGGGAAACTTTTCTTCTCTGTATTGCTGTTCATTTAGGCATATTGGAATCTATGGAATGGTACTCCCGTGTGAATGCAGATACCATATTCTGGCAGCTAATGTCGCCGTCCAATGCATGTCTATTTGTAAGTAAGCTGCATTGGCAACAAATGGACTCATTTCCAGGCAAATGTGTAGAACCTGTTTCAGTGGTTTTCAGCATTTCCACAGCTAGGGAACGGCAAAAACAGGAAAACCACGTCAGGGACTGCCGAGGCAGAAACAAAAAAGCACCATACACATATTACAGTATTCTGTGTATTCGTTTCCAGACACAATGCCAAAAAAATGGAAATTCTCCAGAACGACCAGAAACTGAGCAACAAAAAATGCCAACAACAGAACAAAATACGAAAATCAATGCAGCGTGGCTCCCAGCCGTCTCCCACCAAGCCGTCTCTCTCCTCCCTCCCCCCCCCCCCAGCAGCACCAGTGCACCCGCCCCCCTGTAATGCCAAAAAGGAAATGGTGATGGAGCACAGCTAGCCCCTGCACCAGTCCGTGGTGAGTAGGATGTGCCCCCACCTGAACCGGCAGAAAATCTCCCATGGACTAGCACCGGCCCATGGACTGGTTGGGTGTAAGCCCTGCTGAACTCTCTCAGTACATGGATGCACAATTAGCTTGCATATACAGACTGAAAATGTTTCACCGACAGGATGCCCAAAAGTTATGTCCCACATAGCATTCAAGCCACAGCTAATCTGACTTTATTTCATGGACTTCCATGGTTTGTCAGAAAATATTTTCGTGTACTTAATTTGTCATCACATTCATAATGACTTGGGATAACAAGGGGCTTGGAGACACAATTTTTTCATAAAGGCAATTCCACCATATATGCCTGTTTTATTTATTTTTGATCTTAATAAGCTGTTGAAATAAATTGAAATAATCCTTTACAATCCTGTGCAAGTTAGATGACAAAAGAGGCTTACAACTCCAAGAATGTCCCAGTCAAACTAAGCAGAGCTTGCCAGGGTACAGCGGGCGCTCTGTGCTGGATGGACAGAAAGACGAACAAGCGGATCCTAAGGCAGAACTTATCCTGGAAGTGAAACTGGCAAAACCAACATGGACCTACTTCAGACACGTTTTGAGTTGGAAAGACTCAGTGGAGAAGACAAACATGCTAGGAAAAATCACAGAAGAAAGACAACAGATGTGAAATGGATTGATTCTGGAAAGGAAGCTACAGGGTTGTGTTTGCAAGAGTGAAGCAAGGCTGCCCAGGGGAGGTCTGTTTGGATGCCAGTCGTCCATCAGATCACCATAAGTCAGTAATGGCGGCACAGAAGAACAACAACGAAACTTGCCATAGGATTGCAGCCTAATTGATTGATATACAGTAAAAACATGTACTTCATTTAAGAAATGCAAAGTAGAATGCGATCACAACAACAACAACAAACAAATGCACCCCGGTTCACATTATTCCTCTCAGGTATTTCACCTGGATTCTTCAACCAAATCAAGCAATAAATCCTCTGTGGCAGAACATTCTTCTTTCCAACAAAAGCACTCTTTCCCCCCAGATGGTGGTGATGATGATGACAATAATCACAAACCCCCCTCTCCACCCCTTGCTCACAGCCTATTGCAGGCAAGATGCTACAATCAAGGAAAGGAAAAGGCCAGTGCTATTTCTGCATTATATCACCAGCAAACTAGCTGTGAATAATGCGTTATACTTCATGTTCAAAGACACCTTTTCACAAAGCATTGGTTCTTGTCACTCACTCGCTTCTCCTTGGGTTCTGCCTGCATTCCTCGTGTTCTTTCTTAAATTCAACAAATGTAAGAAAGAACAAATTCCCCAGAAACTCATTCCAAGCATCATGGAAGAGGAATGGGGCTGGGCGAGGCCTCATCAGGAATGCTACCTCTGGCCCCAGTCCAGGTCTGTGACGCGCAGAACAGCCAATCAGCGTCTTGCAAGGATCTCAGTCTGTTGATCAGCGTGGGGAAGGGGAGTGGGGTAATCCAGCCTCCCCTGGGGAAGATGGGAGTCATAGTCCAACACATCTGGAATGTGTCAGGCTGTAATAGGCCACCCTACATTCCAGGGAGCAAGAGGATCAAGTCAATGGACCGAGACTTCACTGGGTGCTCAGTAAAGCATGTGCAGAGTGCATTTGCTTATTGTAGGTATATCTACCTTTGCCCTTCAGAGAACTCGAGTCAGCTTACAAAATTACCTCCTCTTATCACTCTTACTCTCTCAGCAATGACCCTGTGAGAGGCTGGGCTGCAAGCCCATTGTTGGCCCAAGTCACCCAGTGAGCCCCATGGCTGAGAGGAAAATTAGAACCTGCACCTCCCGAGTCCCAGTCCTAACCACAACCTCATGCTGGCCGTCTCCCAGGTGGAGCAGGGCAACTCGCTTCGTCTTGCCCTCGCTGTGCATGGTGCTCCTACCAACCCTGTGAGGTCGTTCAGGCGGAGAGTCTAAGGCCATCTGCTGAGCTTTGTGGAGGACCAAGAGGGGGCCCGAACCAGGCCTTACTGGCGCCAGGTGTGGGCAGGCATGGTAAGCAACGGTCCCAGGGGCTGGGTCCCAAATCCCAGCCGGGGCCATTCACATTACCTGCTCCCCGCTCTGACCCAGGCAACAGCGGTCCTGCTGGCGCTGGAGGGACCGTGGATGCCACCACTTGGCTGCTCAGCGTGGAGCGACAGCGGCAGCCACTGCGGGAGAGAAGGTGAGGAGCCGAGGCAGCTGGGATATTGGCCGGGAGCAGGCGGACCCACTGGGGGAGGGGGACGTTGAGGGTGACCTGCCCAAGGGCCCTCAAAGACACGGAGCTGTCAGGGACTGGTGCCACAGTGCAGACACGCGCCAAGACACGGCTCCACCAGGGGTGGCGTCTCCGTCCGCCGAGGAGCTTGGGCAGGCAGAGGGCTTGACCCATCCTGCTTGAGCAATCCCGTGGGCAGGTGATTGATTTGTTTAGTTAGATCTTTAATAGAGCATCCCATTACTAGCATCTTTACAACAAGCCCAGATAAAAATGGCTAGAGCATCCAGCAATTCCCAATAAAATCGCATTTAAAACTAATGAAACATCAAAATAACAGAGAATAAAAAGATTTTCTCCTGGCACCGAGAAGCAAGAAGCACTGGCGCCAGGCAAACCTCTGGGGAGTGTATTCCACAATCAGGGTGCCACCGCAGAGAAGGCCCTCCTCTGGGTAGCCATGCTCCTAATCTCAAGGTGGGCTCCCAGAGCAGGGCCTCCACCACAGATCCCAAGGGATGGGAGGGCAAACAGGGAAGGCGGTGCTCCTCAGGTGTCCTGGACCCAAGCTGTTTAGGGCTTTACAGGACATCACCAGCACCACGCGCTGCCATGTGTATGGAGTGCTGGGCTGGATGAGCCCTTGCGCTGATCCAACAGGGCTTTTCTTACGTTCTTTCCATTCCTCCACCAAGTCCTCTGTCCAGTTCTGCCTCACCTACAACAGCAGAACACAGACACATCCCCCTGGAGTGCAGTGGCCGATGGATGCATTTCAATCAAATATCTTTCCATGTTGGAAGCCAGGGGTCTCTTTTCCATCTCCCTTTCTTCCTTTCTTATTCTGCTTGTGCACACATTTCACAAAGAACGTTTTCTACCAGTCCCAATTACTCTTGAAGATAATGCTGGACGAGGCACTAAATCGGATGATGGATAGGTGTCAGCGCTACAGCTGCGGGTTAGCGCTGG